GTTGCCATCAGAATATTTGAGTTTCTTTATTCTATCAGTTCTGTTTGCCATTAGCTAATAAGCCTGCCAACGCGAAGTCTCTTAAATTCGCGATTCCCAGCCAAGAATTGTATCGAATTCTCAAAATTAGTTGTACTCGAAAAAGATTCCAGAAAGTTAAAAGTTCAGTGTCATATACAATACACTCTTTTAGGAATGTATTGGGATCTCTCTGATCGAGTGTTTTTTTTTTTGGTTTTTTTTTTTTGGGCGCTTCCATTTATACACCTTTAAACGCATTTCTTACAGCAACGTTTCTTTCTTTGTGCAATGCGGTTTTTTTTTTCTACTGCGACAAAGGTTTGAATAATTCTCAATTAGTGATCGCTGTGAAGGAAGATATAAATATATATATAATATCTTCCGCTGCTGACAATTAGGTGAACCATTGTTAAAATACACACCAAAATCAACGAGTGGATTCGGAAAGAGAGAGTATATTTGCGGCAGGATAAATACAGCGTTCGAAAGATGACAGTTCGGGAGCAATTTCGGTCGCAAATCGTAGAAAAATAGCCTGATCAAAAATTTGTACAACACGCGACACTAGAGTACTTCGCTCCTTAGCAAACATGTGTACAAGCTAAAGGCTTTCTTGCTAAATTCAGTCTCATTTTATTTTTATCAATTTTGTTATCTTATCTTAATTTTCTTGGCTCCGGTTCAAGCCACGCTGTTACTTGATCGCCCGTCTTTTGGTTCGCCAAAAAATACGGATAAACATCTTAAAAATATCAGCGGAAGGAGTAGATAACAAGAATTTCTTTTTAAGAAGCAAGCTCTATAACATTTTTCACAGTAAATTTCAAAGTTATTTTGAGAGGAGGACTGAATTAGAAATCAAAAAGCATGTTGTTGTTGGCATGACGGCCTTTAGTAATTAGTACACAAGATGTTACCAACAACGAACATATCTTTACTTGGAACCACCAAGTCGATTAAGCTATCACTTGTTTCCCTTGATATTTTATTGAACAAAGAAACGCCGGTAAAATATAACCTACAAACAGCTTAAAAGTATTGGTTTTGCTATAAATATAAACGAATTTTGAGCGCTGGCCTTTGAAGAAAATTTGTCGAGACGGCTTGTAGCCAAAATATAGCGCTGACTGTAGACGATAAGTTTTCCATTAAAATAGTTATCGATTGTTTGAATGTGTACAAGTATCATCTGTGTTGGATTAGGAGAGAGTGGAGTTTAATTTAGGATTTGAATGACCTTATAGACAATCTGTAACAAATTTTAGAGTTAAATATTCTGCCCGAATCCAAGAGTTTACTCCTCTTTAGCAAGGGGGAGATCTTACAAAGATTCAGTTTTGGAAACGTGAGTGCGCCATTTTGACTTTTTTTTCGGTTTCATGCCTAGAGGTCATTAGTTGTGACAAGCCGGGATTCTTCGGATCCCAAATCGGTTCGGCATGGAGACTCCCCGCAGAGGTAGGGTAAGTAAGTACTTCCCTTCTGGGAGCTGCGGGCTGGTTTCGAACAATCCTTTGACTTCATTTAGTTACTGAAAGAAATATCAGCAAATAATTGAACAACGACTCCTTTTCTTAAAGATACTATATGCTGTGTTAAGAATGATAGGTGCAAAAATTAATAACAATTTTAATTCAACAACTGGGGAAAAGAATCTCACACGTAATCTGCAACATTCTGATCTGTGTTCAATGTTTCACCAACCATTCTGGGAAACGTGCAGCCCCGATATTACCCTCGGATGTCATAATGAACAAGAACCAATCCTCCCTCGAGCTTGCCAATGAAATCAACAGACCTTTGTAGATGCAAGGGACCAAATTTTAATCACAGAGCGCGCGAGAGGACGAAATTCTTCATCCCGAACCATACAATGATTTTAAAGTAAATCGATGTTTACATTGAGACTGGGCCCTCCATTCAAATCTGCCAAATATTTTCGATGTAATTTAGCCATAAGATGTTGAGCACAAACTAACTCGCTTTTAGCACCCGATACAAGAAAGCCAAATAAAGGCAACATTAGAATACTTCAAGACATTTAGTTCTCTTAGTTCTCTCTATTCTCGAAAGTGAGAAAGATAGCTGAGTCTTCCAAATTTTTTCAGTTGAAAATTTTGTGGTTATTCACTGTCTAAAAATCTATCAAACGTGGCCATTTCTCGTTTAATTTCAGCGGCGAGGACTGAAAAGACACAATTTTTCTCCACAGCGGCAATTAATCAGACGCCATTAATCTGCATAGTAAGTGTGGGAAAGGAAACAATTTCCCACCAGTAAATACGACAATCTTGTGTCACTCTTTGTCAGTGTTATTTATCTCTGTGGTAAAGAGTGCTTATGTATGATTGGAAGTTAAATATTCTGGTACTTAGCCCACGTTAAGTTGAAATATCCTGCGACATTTTCGAGTCTGTTGTCAGTTTTTGTCGCTCGTTACATGACTGCAACCAGACAACTTTCATAAATAAAATAAACTGAATTATAATTTGGCATTCTAATGGAACATAATCGGTAAATTGACCATCTATCTGTCCTAGTAAGATTACACTTATCACAACACCTGCCTCGGTCGAGATGAATTACTTATTTAGAGTGAGCCTTTATTCCGCATCCGGGTCTTTCTTTCTGTGTGTACGTCGCAACGGAGGAGTTTTGTCCTGATGAAATGTCATCAATGGTCATCTATGACATCAGATCCATAGTGGAAAACGTAAGCTGAAGGATTTAACGTTTGTTCATATTTATAACCGATTTTATCCTCGCCTACCTCTGACATGTTTAGTTGCTAATAGGTTCCCGTTGCCGGAATGAGTTCATTGATTACAAATGTACTCGACATGTGGCTGTTTTACCGGTCGACTCTGTTAGATCTTCCGCTAAATATAAAGCCTTTCAAAAAGTTACGTGTAGCACCGATCATAACTGCCATTTGTTAACGCTTCCTTTTTTTGTTTGAACGCTTATTTAGGCTCGATTACCAGCCGCTGTTGGGGAAAAGAGCGCGCTGCTCCTCTCCTCTCGGGGAGGAAAGTAGATCGGACTCGGTTAAGAGAGCGGCGGAAATCGAGCCAAACTTTAATTCTGCTCTATGATTTTCATATCCGTTCATTTACCAATAGATATTTCTTATAACAACCACTTTTATAATAATCACAAATTTTTAAATGCTACCTACCAGCACCTGCAAACTAGTGTCGGAAGGAGTTCCCCCTATTGCCCACTTTACGAGGTGGTTCCGTCCTTAAAGCCGGAGTACCTTTAGTCAGGCTGGAGGCACATAAAAGAGTACGAGGTTTTCTCACGAGTTGAGAAAACGAAAAGGATAGGGCGGGAAAAACTGTCATTTCTGTTCTACGCAAAAGGAGCCTTTTAAATATCGCGAGCAAACGCATCCAGACAGCTCATACATCTAAGTATTTTTTAAAAAAGTTTAGACAAGTGAAATATTTGTTAAAATTAAAGGGATGTTGTATATCTCGGCTGTGGTACCATTTTATGAAGGGACCTATGGGCTCCTGATGAAGGGTTTCTGTAGAAACTTGTGTATGAATTTAAGGAAAGCGTGGACTTCGGGACGGAGTCCCCTCGTAATAAAATTTGTTGAGTAATGTCCNCCCCCCCCCCACCTTCTCTAATCTAACTTGTGGATCCTTCGGACTTTGTTTGTCAAGTCTGTTAATGGCTTGCGTAGCTGTTGGGTTTTAGCGTTCGAATCAATACATGTTTGGACGCGAGGAGAATGAGTAGTATTTGCAGCTGAAACACTTACGCATGAGTCTTACGCGTGATGATTAAGGCTGCCCCGGGTTCCCCCACCCCCACCCCCCACCCCCAGCGTTTAATTCGCCGGTGCCCATTATTTGTACACCTGGGTGTAGAGAGGCTCTGTCAGAGTAAAGTGTCTTGCTCAAGAACACAACACAATGTCCCCGGCCAGGGCTCAAACCCGCACCGCTCGATCCGGAGGCGACCTCGCCTCCCACGCCTGGAAGAAGAGAAATGCCACAAACAATCATAAAGTAATCAGACTCCGCGAAGAATGACTTGAAAGAGGAAATGTTTCTAGACAGTTTTTGAGGCGTTTTTGTTCCTGTCAAAATCTATTCCCAGCGACTATGAAAAGGCCGAACTTTGTCAAGCTTCGTGCACTTCCAGGCTACAACTGTGAAACGAGAAACAGACAAGTGACTGACACAAGTTTCGAAAAAACATTTTCAGTGTCATTTATACCTCTATTAAGACTGTCATTGAAAAGTTCCACTCAGGTTGTTTTTTACTTGAAATTTATTTCGAGATTTTTCTCGACCTGAGCTCGAACAAAATAACGAAAAGATAGAGTAACAACAATTTAGTTCTAAAATGGCTAGATAACATGCTGGAGGTTTGATAAGAACATCGCTCGCATTGCTTGCATGAAAACACTTGCATATTATCTGAGGAAACTGAGCCATAACAATGCAAAATTACACTGAAAGCTAAGAACAGTGGCGGATCTAGTGGAGGGAACTGGGGGCCCCGCCCCCCTTATTTTGGGTGAAAAAAAAAAGAAATGACTGAAGGAAGAAGAGCCGGCAGGGCGAGTAAAACTAAACCGGGCCCTCCCCTTAGCTCAAAGTCTGGATCCGCCACTGAAGAAGAAAGCTGTGCCCTCTGTCAACGAATTCTCGCCGCTAAGCTGCTCTTTTGTATTAGCTGAAAGGAGAACTATGATCTTGAATAGAACATTATAAATCTTTAAAGTCCTTGAGACCTGAGTTGTGTCGGTAAACAGCGAAGCAATTTAAATGCAAAACGTGGCATCAAATCTTACAGAATTTGACAAAAGAAAAATCTTTAGGATTTGTTTTGAAGGGACCCTGAAAATATATCTATTAACATTTACTAAAAACAACAAAAGCGACTGCATCGGAAAATTTGCATTTCGGGCAATATGCTTTCCTTCAAAAAAACAAACAGTAATCGTATAATGAGTTCGTTTTATCTTTCAAACAAAACTCCCACGCTTAGCGCGAGTGAAATAATTAAAGGCGAAAAACGTGGTTCGATGAAAATGTGTGTCTGCGAACGGCGCAAAAGAAAAGCAATACTAAAGTAACACGGATGTACAGCGCCTCCTGACCCTACATACACGAAAACTGACACGGCGGCAGTTCAAATGTAGTTTGGCATGCAGTTAAACTGTTTTTGCGTCATTTGTTAACGACTTGTGACAGCGCGAAATTAAATCGTCCGAGCTGAGGTAAGCTCCTGTGAGATATCTTGTTTATTTTCTGTAAAAACGAACGCAAAATGTTATATTTTTATCGCAAAAAACTGTAAGCTTAATAATCTTTACGCTAAGCCTTAAGGCGAATGAGAAAATTCATTTCCTAGGATATTAATCTAGCGAGACTGCTGAAAAATACACTCAGTTTAAGGTGTAAATATTTCATTTTAAGAAACCAATCTCTAATGTTATTGCTAAACAAGATTCTAAACCGAGTTGCCGATTATTTTTTGACTGAAGCCTTGTTTTGCTAGCGTTTCTGAGTGACGTATGTAGCTTTCTTTTTACGAGGAATGAAATATTCCGAATCGATATTGCTAATTTCCTCTACCCCCCTGGTCTTAAAGTTCTTTTTGAAGGAACCCTGTTTCCAGTTTCTTTACATTGTAATCGACTTGTACGAGAGTTTGCTGCTTATATACGTCTAAAACATTTTAATGGTATGATTTAGTTATTATTGTTTATATTATATCGTCTACAAAGCACTTTCTCTGAGGATATGTTAAACTGACTTGAAATCTGCAGGTAGCACTGACCACACGAATACTAAAATCTGTTCCAATTCGAAAACATTTGTAACAACTGACCAACTTACTTCTTGTTACACTGTGCTCATAATATATCGCAATAATAATATTTCGCTCTGTTCTTTTGCAAGGAAGAATCATTTCCGCTGTGGAGATAAACAGCGAAACCGAAGAAAATTGCTCGATTTAACCTGCCACTTCCAATTACCATGAAGGAGGCTGCGAACGTATCCTGGAACATCTCCACAGACAATTCGCCCGATGCAGGACATCTAGGAGAGAGGGACTTTGCCCTTATTAGCGCGTATGTTTGCATAGTGGGCGTTCTTGGCTTTATAGGAAACTTGTGGGTGATAGTTGCGTTCTGCCGTTACAAAAACCTACGGACGTCAACAAACATTTTCATCGTTCACCTCGCTGGATGTGATTTGTTCTTAGCGTTCATGGATCTGATGTTCTCGTTTCCTTCTTCCGTCGAACATCGCTGGCTATTCGGAAAAGT